GGGGTTCAAATAAAAATTTCAGGGTTAAATAAAGTTAGGATTATTCTGGTTTGTTAGACCTAAAAAGTAAATATAAACTGAATGATCTGACATTATAAGAGGCTGCTTAAATAGGCCTCTGCTATATGACATATTTGTGTAGGTCTTCTTGAAGCAAAACTTGGGGATCTTAATTGTTAGCTAGCAGAATTAGTCGATCATTACATCAATTAAGATTATATCCGGAAGCTTATTGCATTTTATTATTACGTTTTCTTTACATTGTCTTTCCCTCATGAATTTTCTACAAACCTTAAGAGCAGTGTCTGTCTAGATAAGAACGTTTCTTTTACCAGACTTCAATAACTTCATGATTCTCTTTTCAATCATACAAAGAGTTTTCCTTTCTTTTACTGAAGTCTCGGCATGCCACCTAGGTTATGATATTCAATTATATTCCTCGCAACGAGCCTAGCAGAGTAACAAAACTATAGAAAATTAATAAAAACAAACAAGAATAAAAATAAATACAACAAATAAGTTTTTACAATTAAATAAATTAGAAAAAAGTACAATATAATATTATAATAAATATCAGCGATACGAAATGATTCATTGTCAAATCTGGATCCATTTTTCTTTTCAGGGCGTACAGTACAGAGTAAAATAAAAAGATAAACCAAACGTAAACTAGCAACCACTCCCATCCCATCCAAAGAATGCAACTTTTGTGCGGCAGTTGTGGTGTTTTAAGGATTCAACCTTGATTAATGATGTATTTTAGCTCATGAACATGAACGTCATAATCAACTATTCGTTAACATGAACCTTTAACTTACTTTCTGTGCCTACCATTTCGTTATTATGCACAACACCACCGAGATTCCACCGGTACCTCGGTGCTTCAGTCACCTTGTGGTTTCCGCGGATGGGGAGGAGCACCCTATTAGCCACTCCTCCTCCCCAAGCAGTAGTCCCAAGTCTGCTCACAGTTATCTTAACGTTCCGTCGTCCAATATACTTTCCAGAAGTACACATGATGATACGAACGTTTCTGTTCCAAAGCATCTGGGATGTCTTGTCACCCCTCCTGGCAGCAAAAATGACCCATCAAATTGTGCCACCACCAGCTTTCAAGAACCTGATGGGACATTTTCAAATGATCTGAGATCGTCACTTTCCAGACTACAGCTTGTGAGCAGAGATTTTGATGAAGACAGCGGTAGTTTACAAATGCAAGGCGATGGGCCAAAGTCATATGCAACTTCTCCTGACCTTCATAGGAAACCAGAAATGTTGGAGGAACTGGCTAACGAGTCCATTCCTTCTTTGAACTTGAGGACACGACATACAGAAACGAACGACCCGAAGAGCCCTTTCGTGAAATTAAATTCTTCACTTGTGAAACTACAAGAAGAGATGGTAAATATTAACTTACCCAGTACATAAAAAGGCATTAAAAAAAAATTGTTTTAAAAGAGGAAAAAAGAAAAACGTGACAAGCCAAGACCTGGATGCTAGAGATGAGAAATATAAAGGTGTCAGGATTCTCCTTTACATTCGCCTTGTTAAATCCTTAAAATACTGGTCCTTTATAAACAGGTGAATTTGTTATAGATTCAAAAGACTACAATATGATATGTCGCAGAGTTTTAAAAAACGAAGTGGCTAGCCGTACTTAAGTACGGCTAGACTGAGAGTCTAGCCGTATATTTAAGTACGGCTAGACTGCCAGTCTAGCCGTACTTAGATCTAGGTTTGGCCCAATCGACTCAATCCTGTTAAGTACACAGGTCTCATTAGATCTAGATCTAGTAATTATTCAGGTTCAAATACATGCAAGTCAGTAAGGCACCTTTTGGTTTTGTCTGAAATACAAATACTTTAGGCATTGCAAACTAAAATTTTCATTTACAATTCAGCCATCAATATTAAGTACGGCTAGACTGACAGTCTAGCCGTCCTTAAGTACGGCTAGCCTGGCTGTCTACCCGTACTTAAGTACGGCTAGACAAGAAGTCCAGCCGTACTTAAGTACGGCTAGACTGCCAGTCTAGCCGTACTTATCTTCTAGGCCCTATTTACATTAGAAAACAGGAGGTTTAAAATACATGCACTGTCATTAAGGAACCTGGTTTTGTCTCAAATACAAATACTTTAGGTACTGCACACTAAAAATGTATATTTACAATTCAGTAGGCCTATTTTTTGTAAATGGTCAGTCTAGCCATCATATTAAGAATAAGTACGGCTAGACTGTAAGTCTAGCTGTACTTAAGTACGGCTAGACTGTGAACATTTGTGAACAAAATACCCCACCCACTCCCCACTTCTCTTGCTTGTATTTATATAATGGAAATCATGTTTCTTAAAAATCGTAGGCCTACATGATATAAATCATTGAATGTAATTACTACGTTTTCAGGCAAACTTTTTGAACAAATAGTTCTCCAATTGTGAACTGTTGATTAATAATAATTTATTTAATGACAATGGCGTCCGTAGCCTAGTGGTTAGGCTCTCGGACTCGCAACCGTAAGGTCGTGGGTTCGAATCCTGTCAAGGGCCCGACGTTGTGTCCTTGGGAAAGGCACTTTACACGAATTTTCCTCACTTCACCCAGGTGGGAATGGGTACCCGGCTATAGACAGCGAAAGATCTTGTCAGTTTATTAGTGTTTGAGCGCTTAATCGGCTGCTCGCACTGTATGCTTCCCGGGAAGCTGAGAATGTTTCGGAGTGTACTATGGTCTGCTGGGGTAATAATATAGTGTAAAGCGCATAGAGCCTGCTGTTGAGCGGGGATATGCGCTATACAAATGCTATCTATTATTATTATTATTAATGTTTAGTTGAATCCTCATCTGTGTCTATGCATCAGAGTTTCAGTTCTGTACTGTTACTAGGCTAGGAAGTGGGCCCACTGTAGGACCCTGAGTCTATATTTTCATCTTTTATTTATCTCAACTTCTACCTACTTCTGTTCACTTTGGTCTTTCAAGAACTGGTTAACTAGCCACTTTTATCATCCATGAAATGGCCATTACTTTGATTAAGTCTGAAACACTAAACACAAAATATAATGTGCTTGACTTGGCCATTGAACAATAGGTTCTAAAATTCAAGGAACTTCCCTGTAGTAATGTCTCACTCTTCCAGTCATTTTGTATGGGGGTGTTTTTTGTTTTTTCCGATAGATTCAAGCTATGTTAGTGAATGTAGTGTTTATGAATGCATAAAAAAAGATTGTAAAGAAAATGTAAAGCAGACCTTTTTGATTAGTTTTTGAAGTTACTGTAATAAAACTAAAAGTTTTGAAGAAATGAAATGAGACGCATTTAAATGTTAGCATTTTTATGTACACATGTATGACTTTTCAGTCTGAAAAAGGAGTATAGTTCAATTTAGTTTGATTCGTTTTTTCACATTGATTTTCAGAAAAGCCTCCGTTACATAGACATTACTCTGTTCTACCAACTGGTGTCTTTGCATGAAGCCATTCAAGACTTCAAGCTGAACATGACAGATCGGTTCTCGGAGACAGGGTCAGAGTACTCCCTGGGAACAGCCAGCTACATGGGTTCGATGTCCAGCCTCAATGAGAGTGACTGGACGGAGGATGGGATGACCCACGACGATGCGGATGTGGATACCAGCACCGAGGACAACAGGAAGAGCGCGTCCAGCTTGCTACAACAGATCACAGATCTGGCCATGCGGGCCGACAAGGACTTCTGAGCAACAAACGCATGCGCGCATAATTTGTTATATCGGACAACAACAGATTTGTTTTCCAGCGTAATGAACTGGGGTTTTTTTTTTCTCGTGTGTGTATAGTTTTTATATATCAAGATATTAGGCTTTTAGGCCCTTAATGGTTCTGATCTTTCATTTTTTTTTTCTTATTTTGTATTTTTTAACATATGCATCCTATGGTGGATTTGAATGACTCTGATATGCAGTGCATAGATTGTTGGAGCTGGACCTGTTTCTTGACTGAATATGAATTATGTGATTGTGAGGGCATTTAACTCAGTCAGTTTTTTTCACTCCAGGACCTCCCAATTTGTCTTATAATGTTTGTTTTTTTCCCTTTTCTAATTAATTAAAAATCTCTATGACAAATTTTGCAAGACAAAATAATTTATAACTCCTTTGCTGTCTTTTAGTTCCAGGGTATTTTGACCTTTTTGTTGTCTAAATAATTTTGTTATGTAGAAACACAAGTGGTTCTCGTTTTGTGATGCTGCTATGTGAGGTTTTTTTTTGGCAAATACGAGTCTGTTGAAATAGAACCATGGGGTATTAGGTGTCCTGCATAATATAGCAACTGTGTAAAGTTACTTTAGTGTATACAGAAGTAAATCTTTAACCCTTTGAACCCGAAATCCCACTAAAGCGGGACAGCTCTAATTTCCCTATGCTCTGAGGTCCCACTTTAGAGGGATGGACAACAACCCTTTTCGTTTGTTCTGTTTCTGTTCAAATGAGAACAGAATATTTAAGCTATTTAGTTAGTTTGGGATTGAAGCGGGAAATTATGGAGCGTCTGTATTATGAAGTTTGAACAAAAGAAGTGTGTTTGAAGCTGTTTATGAAATGTTTGATCAGCTGATCAGCGACAACCATCAACATAAGGGTCAGGAGCTGAGGGTTCAAAGGTTAAAATATGTATATATATATACTATACATCTATAGACTTTCCTCTGAAGAATGATTAGATTAGTTAGACATCTGAGTGAAACGAGAATGGAAGGTGGAATAGTTAGGACAAAAATCTGTTCGCACTATTCAGTTGAAGCTGTTGATCATACTAAATGTTATTACTGATCCTTTCCTTCATTTTACGGAATGGAATTTGGAATTTTTTCATATTATCTGCCAAAATTTTTTTAAGTTAAAGGAATTTTTTTCACATATTATCGTAATTAACATGTAACAGTATTTTTGAAGGAATGATTTTCATTGTTTAGTATCAGAACACAGAACTGTTTGTATGCAAAAATATTCTTTCAGTTACTTCATATCCGTTTCTGCGGCATAACATAATTTGTTCTCATCAGACAAACATCATGAACTGGGACCATTGTTGTGCTGTTATTTGTGGAGACTGATACGTTCCTCTTCTTTATTTTCAGTCCATTTCATTTTCATCTATAGCATGCGTTAGATACAACGATAATGAGTATTTTTTTCACTTGTGATGTTACAAAAATGTGTAGAAATATTCTGACGGAAATATTTTGTTGTGAATGAAGTTTTTTTGTTTTTTTTCAGAAATTAGCTCAACCATAATTGTTCATTGTCTGACCCTTATGTTTTGGTCGCAGAATAATACTTCCCCTTAGTTTGTGATGATGATCTATGTATAAATTTGGAACAAAATCGTCTTACCTGGTGTTCTTGAATACATGTATAAATTGCGCTTTATTTTTTTGTTTTCTTTTATAGGGTCTCCGTAATGCTAAAAAGAAGACGGTTAAATTTACCGGTGTACTTTAAAAAAAAAAGAATTTACAAAACAGTATGGGGAAAGCTGCTTTGTATCTTTACACTCTACTGCCAGAAATTTTTCCAGTACTTATGATTGCTCACGCTTTGCCCATGATTTATTCGTGATGATGGATTCTTGCTGTTTGTGTCCCTGTGTTCAGTTCTTCCTGATCAGGTAGCAGTTACCTGTAGTTGAGGTGTTATGTTTATAATTTACACCCTGATTATGTTCATTATGAATTTATTTTATAAACCATATATATATATATATATATATATATATATATATCAGTATTGGTTCACACTGTCCAATTCCATGTAGCTAGATGCAGCTTAGATAACCCTGCACAAATTAGAAATTTGTTGAGCATTCCAATATATCAGGTAGAACACAGTGTTAGTGAATATATATATATAACTTTTTAAAGATGTTTATTTTATCAAACTTTCTTTAGAGTCCTTTTATCATCATTTCCACTAAAGCGTCTGATTTTAATTTTGTTGTGGTTGTTATTTTGATTTTGTTTTGCCTTTTTAAAATCTGTTTGTTGACATGCAGCATTTGAGATAATTTGCTTCAGTCTTCCAGGATCAGCAATTTGAAGTAGCTCTTGCTTTTAGAAAAAAATTTTTTTTCAACTTTTTGTTTTGAGACTAACGTGTTAATTGTTGTTGGAAATTGTTTTCCGTGCTGGTGTATTTCTAACTTGTCAGAATGAGACGTTCAGTATTCACATGGCAACCTGTGTGTTTTGTTTTATCATGTTTACTTTTCTACGATTAATCCTTAATGTTTTTAATCCCAAGGCACAAGTGATTGTCAGACACTAAAGACATTATGGGTAGGACTCTGTTCTGAAGATAAGCACATGCACCCTAGAGTTTAGTATCGGTAATGGTACTGCAACTGTAGATAGACACAGTTTTCAGTTAAGTTGTTTTTTTATGTCTAAGTTTCTTTATTCTACGTTGTTCAGCGTTTTGGCAATGTTGTTGATAAGGAGGCGTTTCTTCAGAAAGAGAAGAAAAATCTGTGGACTATATTATTGTCTGAACTTATTTTCTTTTTCGTCTTTTCCTGTGTGCAGGTCAGGAACCCGTGATAATACCTTTACTCAGTTCTTTTATTTCAATTTATCATACGTTGCACTTTGTTATTTTGAATGAAGAGCCTCACCTGTTGTGATCTATCCTGTGCCTATCGTTTTTGATTCGGCTGAGTCATTACTCTTTTCTGAAGCCAAAAACCCACGTCTGTTCAATGCTATGTTGGCTTTGTTCACTCATGTTTTCTGCTTCCTTTAGATGTTAAAATGGATACAGTGTAACACGGATAGGTCGAACACAGAAGACTTGAAATCACGCATCCGTCGAACTGTGCCTGCTGTCTCATTTTTTTCCTTCTTCTTCATTTTTGTAAGATATCCCTCGAACTACGGATCCCTGTGGGTGGTTGGCGGGTGCTCTGGTGTGGTTTGTTCCTTCTTTCGTATAAAAAATCTGTCGTCTTTATCTCTCCTCCTTTTTTGTGTTTGTTACTCTCTTGTAACACCTCTAATCTTCGGCCCTTAAATGACCTTATTGTGATGCAAGTGCCGTAAAACTGTGACTAAAACTAAACGGATCCTACCGAGGCCGGTCCCGACGAATTCGAGCTATCCGTGTTATACTGTATAAATGACCTTTCTACCGATGGTGATGTCTTTCCCTTTACTTCTCTCATGGTGTAAAAAAACCCATCTTTTTAAAAAATGTGAGCTGAAGAGTCTCCCGCTGCTGACCTTTTTGACCTGTGTTTATTATTTATATATTTGGACGTTTCATAGAATTTGAATGACTTTTGTTTTCACAGTCTTTTTCTCATGCTATGGGAGAATAATATGATATGTATAATGGGCTCCATTTCATAGATTTCATCATATCATTTGACAAGTTATGCTATTTTATTCTAATGCAAATGTGAACTATTGTTTTACTCAACAATGCTTTATCCACTTCTCGCAGTAGACTGACATTTTGGTAAGACTGTAATAGCTGGTGACTTTACAAATGTGAGGCAGCGTGCTGGAATCAGGCTCTAGTCAAAATAATCAAAGTGAAGAAACCTGCTTTTTTCCGCAGGTTTGTGAATTTTTATCAAATTTTTGTTTTTTGACTCAACACCTTTCATGCCCATTAAAGAACTCATTTCTGTGTGGATTTTCCTGAAAAATGTTAATTAAAGGCAAAAAAAATGGAAATTTTCAATTACCACAGACTCTTAAGCTATGGAAATAACTAATCTTTGGCGGCCATTTTCTCATTAACTTTTCCTCTGAAAACAGGTGACCCCCACCTCTTTCATAAGCAAATATCTCGACTTGTATTCAAGACAAATTGATATTTTTTTCATCCTAATAAAGACAAGTGAACAACCTTTAAGATGATACAATAACTCTATTGCTCAAAAATTGACGAGAGCCTGATTCCACCACGCTGCATCACAAATGGTAACTTCTGTAGTATGGGCTGCATTTTTCTTTGAGCCTTCTTTTGGTTTTAAAATTTTGTTTAATGCATTGATATAAACTCGAAAAACTATAGAAGGGTGAAAAAAATATACAAATACCTACAAACAGAAATGGAATAGTGCCGGTCCACGTGGCGGTCGGTTTATTTCTGTGCTACTTGACAGTTGGCCACTAGATCAGCCTGTCACCTGCTCCGCTTGATGGTATATTTGTGTATTACAATCCACAATGCCAAATATTTTCCCTATGAGTTTTAAACAGACTTGGGGCTGTCATTTTCTGTTTTAAAATGTTTTGATAGATGTAGTTGAAGATTGTCTTATTTAAAAAATTTGTGTTATGTTTTTAAAAATTGGGCTGGCCTCCTGATTTCTTGAAAGTAATACATCAGGGTGAGGATGGAGTGATAGTATAAAATAACCTTGCTCTGACCTTAAAGTAGAATGTGTTATTGTTTTGTTTCAGTAAGAGTTTGACGGCACTTGCAACACAATAAGGTCATATAAGTGCCGAAGATTGGAGGTGTCACAAGAGAGTAACAAAAATAAAACAGAAGGAGGAGAGATCAGGACGGTAGATGTCCTTCATGTGTTATTGTAGTAGATCGTCAAGTGGACTGGCACCATGGAACACTTCCAGTTCCAGGAAGTTGGCTGTGATTTTGTTTATTACGGATGCTTCTAGCAAGGAGTTGTTATTATTGTTAAGCATTGGACAGCCTAACAATTCTTATAAAAGTCTCTTCTAAGACGTTGGTCAGAATATCTTTGTAATACATCTGCTGCTAAGAACAGATATTTTTTACATTGTTTCTCTCTCATTTTCAGCAGCATTGCAGTTTTTCAATGATGGTGCTTTTTCTTGGATCTTCATGCATTCTGTTTGTTGTTGCTTCACTGCTGAATGAATCCTTGTTGATTGTTGTTCATTGTTCTGTATGGACTGGTGCTATACCCGTGTTACGTCTCTGTACTGCAAGTGCCCAGTGTTGGAGAGAAGAGAGGACTTGCGACGACTTGACTTGTGCAAACAATTGTGCCCATGTCCTGTTTTGTGACGGTACCATGTTTTGTCCCTTTGTCAGGAATCGGTTTAGACTTTTCTAAAGATAATCTTAATAAAGGTGATACAGATACTCAGATAAATACTCTTCCCATTTGATATGAAATTCATCTCACCTTCTTTCCTGCTTGGTCAGGGTACCCCAAAAAAATATTATATCTGATATCATCCCAAAGTCTTTTCATCCAAGTAGGGTAGTTTTAAATTCAAGCAAAGACCTCTTTTAAATTATGAAAACTTGACAGTTTGTAGATAAAAAGATCACTTGTAATGGGTATAAATTTTCTTAAAGAGTTCCCCTCAGAAACCATATGTGAGGCAGCGTGGTGAAATCAGGCGCTCGTCAAAATAGTAAAAGTGAAGAAACTGGCATTTTTCCACAGGTTTTGGATGGGAATTTTAATAGAATTTTTGTTTTTTGGCTTAACACCTTTTATGTCCCTTAAAGAACACATTTCTGTGTTGATTGTGCTGAAAAACGATGATTTAAGGCATAAGAGATGTAAATTTTTAGTTTCCATGGGCTCTCAAGCTTAGGAAATAACTCAACTTTGGCTGCCATTTTCTCGCTAATTTTACCTCTAAAACCGGGTCACCCCTACCTCTTTCCTACACCAATATCTTGACTTGTATCGCAGATAAATAGATATTGTTTTCATAAAAGCAAGGCAAATGGACAAGCTTTAAGATGATACCAATAACTCCATATGCCCCTAAATTGACGAGAGCCTGATTCCACCACGTCGTGACACGTATGTTATCTTAATCCTTATTTCTTCTATTTGCACTGATCGTCATCAGACATTGATGGATGAATTATTTTAAGTGGGGTATTGTCAGATGTCGGTGAAATATTTGTTGTGAATTTCATATTTTCAAGTTGATAACTTCACCGTAAACAGCACACATATACCGGTTCATGTATACTCTGAATACAGACAGCAGTGAAAAGTGTCACATTTACCAGGCAGGTTTAGGTATGTGTTGACAAGAAGGCAAAGAATCGGCTCTGATTTTGATTTGATTTTTTTTGGTCTCCAAATTGACATTTTTTTTCTTTTCCAGTAAGCTAAGAGACTAGTGCAACTATTTTGTTTTTATCATGAAGGAAAATGGAATGCTGGCTATTCAAGGTGTTTGGGATTTATTTGTAATGCTACAATTTGAGTGGGGGGTTTGTTCTTCACTGAAGTCTTTCATTCATACTAAATCATCTCTCTGAAACTTGTGGTGTGCTGCTCTGATGCTGTCATCCTTTCTGTCAATTTAAACCCTTACGCTTTTTGACATAGGCCGCTTTGGCTTGAAGTTGAACCCATTATGATATTTTTGAATACTATACTATGTCATAAGTGTCTAAAGTGTGCAGTTTGGATCTGTTTTAGTTGCAAGGACATTTTTCAGATTTCTTCTCCTGCTTCCTCATAATTAGATGCATTGTTGCTCATAGTTGTTGTTTTTTTTTCCCTGAAAAAAAAAGCCCAACCCCAACTACCCCACACTGAAGGATCATTTTAGTTGTTTTTAAAATTATTTTTTTTACATATTATATTGATCATTTATTCATTTCCGTGTGTTCTGTTTTGACTCTGTGATGCATGTTAGCAAGTGCCTTCATATTCTACTATACGAAATGTTTTATATCACAACCTGTATCTGGTAAGACCAATGTTTTTTGCAACACCACAAGGTTATGGACCCTTAGTTGTTGTGTGGATATATCTTATCATCATACTTTGTTCCAATTTTACAAAGCAATATAACTGGCATTGGCATGAGAGTTTATAGCCTGCAATGATGAATAAATATCACGTCACCTTGTATAGATATATTTGTGAGTTCTCTTTGTGCGTTTATTTGCTGCAATATTATTTCTTCATTAAATTATGTTTTTCATTTGTTAGATTAATTCATTCTCTCTCTCTCTCTCTCTCTCTCTCTCTCTCTCTCTCTCTCTCTCTCTCTCTCTCTCTCTCTCTCTCTCACTGGCATCTATGGTGTTGGGAGTAGATGCTTTATTGTCACATGCAGGAGACCTGAGTTTGATTCCTGAATGGGGAGCACTTTTTGTGAAGTATGTCAGTCTTTCTGCTGGGATGTTGTATCTCTCTCAGCTGGAGCTGGTCCTGACAGGCAGGGTTGAAATCCGCCCCCGAAATGATCTAAATTGCGTCGGTCTGGGGGAGAGGGGAGGAGGGGGTGTAAAGAGACCTACATTTAAAAAAAAGAAATTCTTGTGAGCTCGGAACTTTTTATCTTGTCTCTGTCTCCCTCTTAATTTTTCTCCCTCTGTCTTTCATTTGTTCTCTGTCTGTCTGATTGCCCC